TTCGTATACTTCTTTTCCTCTGGGTAGATACCTAGTAATGGGATTGCTGGATCAAATGGGAGATCTACTTTTAATTTTTTAAACAATCTCCACACTGTTTTACATAGTAGCTGAACTAGTTTACGTTCTCACCAACAGTGTAAAAGTGTTCCCTTTTCACTGCATCCATGCCAACATCTATAATGTTTTTCAGTTTTTGATTATGGCTATACTTGCAGGAGTGACGTGGTATCACATTGTGGTGATTTGCATTTCCCTGATAATTAGTGATGTTGAACATTTTTCTATATGTTTGTTGGCTATTTGTATATCTTCTTTTGCGAATTGTCTACTCATATCCTTAGCCCATTTTTTGATGGGATTATTTATTTATTTTTTTTTCTGGCTGATTTGTTTGAGTTCTTTGTAGATTTTGGAAATTAGTCCTTTGTTGGATGTATAGTTTGCGAAAATTTTCTCCCACTCTGTGGGTTGTCTGTTAACTCTGCTGATTATTTCTTTTGCTGAGCAGAAGCTTCTTTAGTTTAATTAAGTCCCATGTATTCATCTTTGTTTTTGTTGCATTTGCTTGGTCATGAAGTCTTTGCCTAAGCCATTGTCTACAAGGGTTTTTCCAGTGTTATCTTCTAGAATCTTTATGGTTTCAAGTATTAGATCTAAGTCTTTGATTCATTTTGAGTTGACTTTTGTATAAGGTGAGAGATGAGGATCTAGTTTCATTCTTCTACATGTGGCTTGCCAATTATCCTAGCACCATTTGTTGAATAGGGTGTCCTTTCCTCACTTTATGTGGTTTGCTTTGTTGAAGATCAGTTGGTTGTATTTGGCTTATTTGGGTTCTCTATTCTGTTCCATTGGTCTACGTGCCTATTTTTATACCAATACCATGCTGTTTTGACATTATGCTGAACAGAGAAAAGTTGAAAGCATTCTTCCTGAGAATTGGAGCAAGACAAGGATTTCCACTTTCACCACTTTTATTCAACATAGTTCTAGAAGTCCTAGCCAGAGCAATCAGACAAGAGAAAGAAATAAAGGGCATCCAAATGGGTAAAGAGAAAGTCAAACTGCTGCTGTTTGCTGATGACATGAGCGTATACGTAGAAAACCTTAAAGACTTATCCACAAACCTCCTAGAACTGGTAAATTAATTCAGCAGAGTTTCAGGATAATTTGCGTACAAAACTTAATGTACACAAATCAGTAGCTCTGCTCTACACCAACAGCGTCCAAACTGAGAAATTAGGAACTCAACCCCTTTCATGATAGCTGGAAAAAAAAAAAAGGCTTAGGAATATACCTAATGATGTGAAAGACCTCTACAAGGAAAACCACATAACACTGCTGAAAGAAAGCTTAGACTACACAAACAAATAGAAACACCTCCCATGCTCATGGATTGGTACAATCAATATTGTGAAAATGACCATATGGCCAAAAGCAACATACTTTTTCAATGCAATTCCCATCAAATTGCCATCACCATTCTTCACAGAACTAGAAAAAAGCAATCCTAAAATTCATATGGAACCAAAAAATAGTCTGCATAGCCAAAGCAAGACTAAGCAAAAAGAACAAATCTGGAGGCATCATATTACCCGACTTCAAACTATATTATAAGGCCATAGAAACATTTTTAAATGTTTCATTCATATTTAAATTATTTATAGTTTATAAATTTCCTAAAATTTTATCTGGGAGAATGTTCTGTTTGGTTCAAATTTATATATACTCTGCTGTTGTTGGGTAGACTATCTATAAATATCAGGTCAATTTGGTTGATAGTGCTGTTCAAGTGTTTTCTCTCCTTAAGAATTTTCTGTCTAGTTATTCATTGACTTGTTGAGAATAGGGTGTTCATTTTAACTATTAATTCAGAAAATAAACCAATCATATCAAAGTTATTATTTCAATTGTCAGATTTGCTCATGTAGTTTAATTTTTCAAATTTAAAATACACTAACAATTTTTCAAGAACATAAGAAATGTGTAGCATGGCCAACATTTAAGTTTGGAATGGAAATTTCTGGAAATAAATAGACATGAGTGTTAGATTTAGCTCTGGGGGAATCCTTGAAACCCTGATGTCCTTGAGTTGCCATTTTGATGTATGTGTAGGGTACAGGATACTGGAAATAAAGCTTAAGTCTCACCCAGAGTGACAAGTCTAATCAGAGATCAGGACATAAAAATGAGAATCCAAAGGTCTAATCCTCATCCTAAGAGTGAACCATGAATAAACCTGCGGCTCAGCTTCAGCAGCCAAGAAACTTGTTTGTTTCTCTTATACAATGGAGGAAAACAATGCTTCCTAAGCATTTGTAATGTACTAATCTCAAATAGATTTGTGACCCCCCACTGCCTGCTGTCTGTGTGCTTAAAAACCGTTCAGTGGAGAATGTCATTTAAATGTTCTGTAGGTTAGTAGTAAAGTCAGGCAACTGACAGGATAAAAGGCAAATTTGCTCTGCAAGACTAAAACTTCAACCCAGGCACTAAAAATTTATCTCAGATAAAGTTCCAAGAAAAGAAACAGCTCAATATTAAAAATCATAAAACACACAAAGATCCAGTTTCAATGGGTGTGAATCAGTAGATGCAGACCACATAATTTTACTCAAAATGTGTCAGATATAGGATTATATCTGATATTATAAAATAACTGTTTGATACATTTCAAGAAATAAAAAGGTTTAAAAAGCAAGGACAAGAAACTTTTTTAAAGAAAGCGAAATATACAAATGAAAAACTATGAGAAATGAAAAATATATAAAATTAATTTAATAATTGGTTAAATTGTTTATTAGACTAAGAGAAGTAATAGTTAACAGTAAAATTTGAAGAAATTGCATGGAATGTATCACATCAAGACAAGGAGAGAAAAATATAAATCAAATATTTAAAACAAGGCATACAGAATGAGAGGGCATCATGAATATTTAATAGAAGATCCTCATGAAAGTAATAATTGCAATATTTAACAAGATAATGTCTAACTCTTTAGAACAAAAGTCTTGCTGTCTAGTTGGTGAGGGTAAAAAACATAAAAAAAGATGTTATCAAACATTGCACGTATCAAAAAATAAAAAATATTTAGAAGTATTTTATTTAAAAATCATTAAAATTATCATTACACATATAGGGAAAAATCCAAGTCATTAAAGAGAAATCAGTAGCTTTTGTTACATCAAAAAGAGGGACTTAATTAATTATCCAGGAATATGAGTTTAGAAGTTAGACAAAAAGCAAAATAAATACAAAGAAAAAAGGAGAAACCCAATAACAAAATGGTAAAATAATAAAAATATATAATGCAGAAGAGATGCAAAGCTGAAGTTGGCTCACTAGAAAGAGCATAATGTAAAACCAATGGCAAAATTAATGAAAAACACAGTGAGAATGTATAACTGATTCAGATTAGGAATGAAAATACATAGGGATATAGCAGTGATTAATAGTGATGATGACATTAAGAACGAATTTCTTTGAATAATGTCGAAACTTTGACAAAGTAAATAAATTTACAGAGAAAAATAGGTTGCTGAATACATAGATAACAAAAATATTCATATAATCATTAAAGGAATGATTTTGACCCAGTAACTAAAAATCCTTCCTCACAAAATAAATAAATATATACATAGGGCCATGGGGCTTAATATGCAATTTCAAACTTCCACAACACCTTAGAGAAAAGAAATCAAAAGAGATTACAGCTGATATAAGAAGCTATCATAAATTATAAATCAAAATTAAATGATCACAGTACAAATATAGAAAAATACAGGCCAAAATTACAATTATAAATGCAGAAAATCCCAAGTAAAGACATAGCAAATTCCATCAAGAAATTTATTTTAAAAAGATTAAAAAGAAAATAGTTTTATTCCAAGAATGCAAGAATCAGTTAATACTAGAACTTAATATAATGAGAAAATCTTTCAATGTAGTTTTTCTAAAATTGTCCTTGTCTGTTCATTGGGATTTAATTAAATTTATACATTAATATGTGGAAATTCCTGTGCTTAAAATTTCAAATATTTTTATACAGAAAAAATAATTTTTATTCATTTATTCAAATTCACTTTTGTGTTGTTCGGTAGCATGCTGTCACTTTCCCCTTACAGACCTTACCCAGTTCATGTTAGGTTTATTAATAGATTTATGTAGTTTATTTTATGTTTTTAGTTTTGTTATTGTGAGATATTCTGTTTTCAACATATTTATATATAGGCAAGCATTTTTTATATTACTTTTACATGAACTATTTTATTTGTAATAATTTTCATTTCACTATTTCATGTGTTTTTCTATAAGAAAATAATAATCACTTTTGCCTTTTTCATTCTGATATTTGTAAGTCTTATTTCATCATTTTCCTTCTAGGTGGTTTTGGAAGGCCTCGACTCTTGCAGTTCTCACTTTGAAGCAGTTACACAGAGTACTTTATAGAATGATCAGAATATGCATTGACCATACAGCATAAACAGGATTTGTAGTAAAATAACTATTATCTTATGAAACATATATTTTAATCCTTTTGATGATGAATTAAGTAATATGTTTTATAGTACCTTTTATTTTAGAGGTAATAAGATTCGGCCAGGTGCGGTGGCTCATGCCTGTAATCCCAGCACTTTGGGAGGCCAAGGCAGGTGGGCTACCTGAGGTCGGGAGTTTGAGACCAGCCTGACCAACATGGAGAAACCCCATCTCTACTAAAAATACAAAATTGGCCAGATGTGGTGGCACATGCCTGTAATCCCAGCTGCTCGGGAGGCTGAGGCAGAAGAATTGCTTGAACCTGGGAGGCGGAGGTTGCAGTGAGCCAAGATCGTGCCATTGCACTCCAGCGTGGGCAAGAGCAAAACTCCATCTCAAAAAAAAAAAAAATTGATTCCCAGATAAGGAATTTCTGATATTAAAATGTTTTATATTTATGTAATATCAAATATTTCTTCCAATCAGATTTTCTTTTGTTCTTATCCTTCTATATCTAGAACATGAGGCCTGTTTGAGAGATGTTATAGAGTTACAATGGCATCTTGAAGATAAAGTTAATCAACTAGAACATTTTGCAAAACAAAAGATGGAGTTAGAAGAAGCAAATGCAAAGATTCAAGCAGACATAGACTACATGAATGAACATGGCCCTCTACTGGACTCTAAGCGGAATCAGGAACTTCAAGATCTGAAGAACCATTATAAAAAAAAAAAGGAGGTAAATGAATAAACAAATGCATGAGCATTTCATAAATTATTACTTAGTTATGCAAAAACTTTTCAACCATAAGAAATTAACACAGCTTTAAAGGTTTTTTTCTTCTTAAAATTGACCCACCCTTTATCTCTACACATTACCAACTGTAGGTATTCATTTTAACTATGTCTTCTTTTCTTACCATTATATTTAAGATTATTAAGCATGTTTAGTCAAGCTTCTAGTAAAATTTTGGTGATTTAAAATAGCCAGGTAAGGCCAGGTGTGGTGGCTCATGCTTGGAATCCCAGCACTTTGGGTGGTAAGCATTTTGGGTGCATTGCTTGAGCCCAGGAGCTAGAGATCAGTTAGAGTAACATGGTGAAACCCCATCTCTACTAACAATACAAAAATTAGCCAGATATGGTGGCTCGTGCCTGTAGTCTCCTCTACTTGGGAGGCTGAAGTGGGAGGTTTGCTTGACCCCTTGAGGTTGAAGCTGACATGTGGGGATTGCTCAACCCTGAAGGTTGAGGTTGCAGTGGTTCATGATTGTGCTACTGCAATCCAGCCTGGATGACAGAGTGAGACCATCTCAAAACAAAGCAAAACAAAGCAAAACAAAGCAAGAACTTCAGAAAAATAAAATTGTGGGTTTTTTATTTTAAGCCATAATCATACTGAGCAAAAATGCAAGTAAAATATATAAGTTCATTGTTGATGAAAATATGTAAATGAAATAAAAGTATTTTAATGGTTAATTAAATATTTAACTCTCCTATTATAGAATATGAAAATAATTTATTGATAATTGTCACAAAATGAACAAATTTAAATTTGTATTATATTTATTTTTGAACATTTTAAAGTAAATGAAACAAATTGTTAAATGTCTCCTGTGTTCCCCTCAACAGTTCCATTTTCATTCCTCCTTTACCAAACACAATCTTTGTAATGAATTTCATGTGCCTATAAGCCAAATTTGAATAATTATATATATGCATGTGTGTTGATAAATAATACATGGTATTTTTAATCACACAAACAGTACCATACATTGTACAATATTCTGCAACCTGTTTTTTAATCTGACAGTTTTTTAGTTTAATCAAGCTACTGTTGATATATATAGATCTAGTTCATTCATTTTACTTACAATGTTCCATCAAATAGATATTTCACAGTGTAATTACTTACCATTTCATCTTCTGTTGGCCATCTGAGTTGTTTCCAATATCTGGCAACAAAACTGCTTATTTGACTGTAAACAATAATCACACATGAATACCTTCCTCTGTATCTGCATGTAAATTTTTCCTATTGGGGTTATATACCTAGTTGGGCATTTACTGGATTGTGGGTTATACACATTTACTGTTTTATTAGATAACATCAAGTTATTCTTCAGGGTGCCTGTAACAATTTCTATTACTGGAGTAGTGGCGATACTGAAGTCTCATTTCTCCACTGTGAACAAGAATGCAAGTACTGTCCTCCTTTTTTAGTAATAGACCCCTATACAGTTGGATGACAGTGTACAGGCTGGAAGATATTTCTCAATTTCCCTTTTCTCATTGTATTTCTAATGAGATGTAGGTAGCAGTTATTGGCTGTGATTTCCATGAAATATCTTTGAAATAGACTGCCTCACCCAGGCAGTCTATTTGGCCATTTGCCTCAGCTATCATACCTAGGTTGCTGGAAGTTTAGAAAATGCCAAATAAGCTATTTACTAAACTTCCAGCAACATTGATATGATACCTACAGCTCTAACTTCCATTTTACAGCATGAAGCAACCTTGGGGATGGAAGCCACAACTCAGGATGGCTGAAGAGCAAAGGGATAGTCGGATATATTTCTGTGAGAGAAAAGTAAACTGCAACCTTGTTTAAGCAACTTATTTGGTTTATTTCTGTAACTTACAGCAAAACTCAATCCTAACTGGTATAACTCACAATTTAGTTAACATTTTTATTGTCATTCTTTAAAATTTTGTCTATATGTGTTTTCATTGGTATCCCTTTGTTTTACTGTGTTTTTCCCTGATAGTGAACTTGGGTACATGATAAGCAGGGCAAGTGGAGTTTTTGGGCAGTTGGAAGATCAGGCTTGTGAATGGGAAGAAAGGATTCATTCTAGCAGACCAAAAAAAAAAAAAAAAAGCAATGTTTGTGTAAAGCTTATCAGAGCTAAAATGACGGTTAATTTAATTGTCAACTTATGGGGCCATGATGCCCAGATATTTGGTCAAACATTATTCCAGATGTTTTCAATAAATGTACATTTTTTGGATGAGATTAACATTTGAATTGGTAGATTTACAGTAAAACGTATTATTCTCCATATTGTGGGTGGGCCTTGTGCAATCAACTGAAGGTCTTAACAGAACAAAAACTGACCTCCTCTGAGCAAGAAAGAATCCTGTAAGCACACTACTTTTGGACTGGGACAGCAACTTTCCCCTGGGTCTTTAGCCTGCCAGCCTACCCTGCAGATTTTGGACTTGTACCTCCAAAATAGTGTGAGCCTTTTCCTTAAAATCAGTCTCTCTCTCTTCCACTTATTCCTCGCTCCTATTGGTTGTTTCTCTAGAGAAGCCTGACCATTAATGCAATGACTGCCCTTCTTTTATTTCATCATTATTGTGCTACTCCATTACATCTTAAATTCCTAGATCAGTGCTTCTGCTTACCTGCCTTTAAGTCAGCTGGTGACCTTCTAACTATTCCAGGGGTCAAAATGAGAGTTTGGACCTCTTGGCTTCTGTAGTGTGAGCCATAAACTCTGTGAAACCATCCACTATGGGTGTACAATGCAAGGGAAAGTAATTCCCCAGGAAAAAATAATTCCTCATCATGAAATTGAGATGCTATTAAGAAAGGCTATAAATGTCATGCAGCCAAAATATGAAAACTCTCTAATATAAGGTAGAAAGAAAGTGATATCTTAGTAAAAGTAAACACATTTTTCTTTGGTAAAATGAGCATAACTGACAATACTCAAAAATGAAAAGCAGAATTATGAGCACTGAGAGGCCCAAATACTTCCTCAGAGAGAAATAAAAATACATACATTGAGACTGTAAAAATTCTTGCCAACAAATTAGATAACCTAGATAAAATGGAATCAAGAAGAAATAGGAAATCTGAGCAGGTGTATAATAAGCACAGAAATTGAATAAGTAATTAACCACCTCCCCTCTCCACCAAAAAAAAAAAAAAAATGCCCAGGACCAAGTGGATTCACTAGTGAATTACAGCAAACACACACACATACTCTCTAATAATTCTCAAACTTTCAAACTCTTCCAAAAGGAAAAGAAGAGGAAGAGGAGAAAGGAACACTTCCTAACTCATCTATGTCAGCATTACCTAGTTACTAAAGCCTGTGGCGTAAACCCGGGAGGCGGAGCTTGCAGTGAGCTGAGATCCGGCCACTGCACTCCAGCCTGGGCGACAGAGCCAGACTCCGTCTCAAAAAAAAAAAAAAAAAAAAAAAATATATATATATATATATATATATATATATATCACAAGGAAGTAAATTATAGACCAATATACCTTATGAATATAGATGCAAAAATCCTCAACAAAATCCTAGCAACCCAAATCTAGCAGCATATTAAAAAGATTATACATCATGACCAAATGGCATTTATCCCAGGAATACATATGTAATACAATATATGAAAATAAATCAGTTTAATGTACCACATTAATAAAATAAAGACACACACACACACACGATTGTCTCAGTTGAAGAACAAACAATGGACAAAGTCCAAAATTCTTACATGATAAAAACTCTTAACAAACTAGAAAAAGAAGAAAACTTGCTCACTGTGAATAAGGACATTTTTGTAAAACCCACAGGTAATACTAAACATAATGGTGAAAGACTTAAACCTTTTCCTCTAGGATCATAAATAAAAGAAGGATACCCACTTTTACTACTTCTATTTGACATTGTACAGAAAGTTCAAGCCAGAGTAGTTAGGCAAGTAAGAGAAATAAAAGGCATACACATTAGAAATTAAAAAGTCAAATTTTCTTTGTTATCAGAGGACATGATCTAATATATAGAAAATCCCAAAGATTTCACAAAACAGTCTCCTAGTGCTAAAAATCACATTTAGCAAACTTGCAGAATTCTGCTCAACACATAAGACTCAGTTGTAATTTTGTACATTAGTGGTGAACAATCCAAAAAAAATTAAGAAAACAATTCCATACACAGGTCATCAAAAATAATAAAATACTAATAATTTTAAGAAGATGAAAGGTTTGTGTAGAAAAACTGTAATGTTTTGCTGAAATAAATTGAATAAGAATTGAATAAATTGAAAGACATCCTGTATGCCTGAATTGGGAGACTCAATATTGTTAAAGTGTCAGTAGCACCTAAAAATACTTGTGAAGTCAATGCAATCCAGAACAAAAGTTCAATGACCTTTTGCAGACATGGAAAAGCCTACCCTAATATTTTTATGGAATTGCAAGGAACTCCAGATAGCAAAAATAATCTTGTAAAGAAGACCACATTGGAGAAGTCACATTTTCCAATTTCGAAACTTACTACAAAGCTGTAGTAAGCAAAATATATTTGCCTAAAGTATAAAGAAATAGATAAATAAAGTAGAACTGAAATTTCAGAAATAAACATATGTATCTATGGCTAATTGATTTTTGACAAGGTGCAAGACCAATCATTTATTGAAAGAAAGTGTAGCCTCTTCAACAAATGATGCTGGGACATTGAATATCCAAATATATATTAAAAAGAGTAAAAGTGGACCCCTACCTCCCACCATATAAACATTAGCTCAAAATGAATCAAAGACATAAATATAAGAGTTTAAACTATAAAACTCTTAAAAGAAAACCTAGGAATAGCCAGGTGCAGTGGCTCACACCTGTAATTCCAGCACTGTGAGAGGCTGAGGCGGGCAGATGATGAGGTCAAGAGATGGAGACCATCCTGGCCCACATGGTGAAACCCCGTCTCTACTAAAAATACAAAAATTAGCTGGGCATGGTGGCAGGGGCCTGTAGTCCCAGTTACTCAGAAGGCTGAGGCAGGAGAATCGCTTGAACCTGGGAGGTGGAGGTTGCAGTGAGCTGAGATGGCGCCACTGCGTACTAGCCTGGCGACAGAGTGAGACTCTGTGTCAAAAAAACAAACAAACAAACAAAAACCTAGGGATAAATCTTTATGACCTTGGATTTGGAAATGGATTCTTAGATATGGCACTGAAAGCGCAAGTAACAAAATAAAAAAAATAGAAAAATTGGACTTAGTCAAAATTAAAAGCATTCTTGCATCAAAGGACACTATCAAGAAAGTAAAAAGACAATCTATAGAATGAAAGAAAACATTGCAAATTATATGATCTCAAACTGATGTAGTTCCCAGAGTATATAAAGAACTCTTATAATTTGACAACTGAAAGACAAACAACTAAATTTAAAATAAACAGAGAACTTGCCATGAACAGACATACGTATATCTGTTGTATATCTGTTCATAGTAGTGAACAGATAGACATATCTTCAGAAAGACATCCAAATGGGCAGCAAACTCATGAAAAGATGTATGTTCAACATCATTAGTCTTTAAAAAATGCAAATCAAAACCACAATAAGATACCAGTCATACCCATTAGGATAGGATTAAAAATAAAATGGAAAGTAACAAGGATACCCTAGAGATACTGGAACCACTGTAATTTGCCGGTGGGAATGCAAAAATAGTGTAGCTGCTATGGAAAACGTTTTGGTTATTTCCAAAATAGCTAAGCACAGACTTACCATATTCTTCAGCAATTCTACTCCCAGGTATATATCTAAAAGAAACAAAAGCTGAGACTAAAGAAACAAAAGCAAAAGCAAAAACTTGTACATAAATATTCGTTAGTAGCACTATTCACAATAACCAAAAGAAACAGCCCAATGTTTATCTACTGAGATAAACAAAATGTGATATATCAATGGAATGAAATATTATTAAGCCATAAAAAGAAATGAAGTACTGATACATGCTACAACATGAATAAAACGTGAAAGCATTATGCTAAGTAAAGAAGCTAGACACAAAAGGTCACATATTGCATAATTCATTTATATAAAAGATCCAATATAAGTAAATCCATAGACACAGAAAGATTAATGACTGCGTAGGGCTGGGGGAAATGTAATATCAAGTTTTGTTTGTCATGTTGTGTTCGTAATAACATTTTAAAACTCTTTAAAATTATTATTTTTTTATTATGCAATCTTGACCTAGTTTTAAGGCCCTGGCTAGAGGCCTGCTGAAATTACCTGGTTGCTTAAAAAATTCAAAACTCCTAGCCAGTGTGCTTGGGCTTTAGTAAATGCTGCTGCATTACAACATGTGAAAGGACTGATACTTTGGGCTAATTGGGTTTTCACAAAGGGAGTCTGCTATACCTCTTTAAGTGCACACCCCAATACCTGGGAGGTAGACTGGAAGCCTTGGAATGAGAGAGAAGGCTGCCTTCAAGTTAGGCCAGAGGGCTGCTAAATCCCCTTTTTCTGTAACCGAGAATGGATGCAATATAAGTTAGCAGACAAAGATGGTAACTAGAAGCCCAAAACAAGAAAAAAAAGAATTGAAAAAAATCCCCAAAACAACAGGATACAGAGTGGGAAGTAGAGAGTTGCCCCCTTTAGAGTAAACAACTCTGGGAATCCCTTGCCTCATAGATACCCAAAATATAAATCAAGGTCCCACATGTCTCTAGATATGCTAAGGCCATAAAACAAGGCTTGCAAGGACACTCAGCCCCTCCAGAGTTCCAGGCATGACAGAGTAGCCAAGGCACGTATTTTACTTCTTAGAGTACACAGTGTGTTGTGTTGTCTTACTCAGTTTTGAGGCCGTGGCTAAAGGCTGGCCCTCCCTTTCTTGAGAAGCTGATTAAACCCACATCTCCAACCCCTTCCTGGGCCCTCACGTTCCATGCCACTATGTACCCATCCTATTCTCAACAGAGGCCCCAAACAAGTAGTGAAACCCACTGTACTTCAGAGTCTACTGAAATGATTAAAATTAGCCACTCCACAGAGATCTTCTGAAATTTAGCTACCCACCTCCACTGCTTGCCACCCATAAGCTGTCCCCTATAGCTCCAGCTTGCTGCTAACCTGTCCCCAGCTGAAACCCCTAACATGGCCTACCTGGTAGCCATCTCTCCTTTGGAGCTGTAAGTAACAGAATTCTGCCTTTCATCTAGCCCAGTTTCACTGCGTTGCGTCTTCCCACCAGGAGAATCTTTTAAAACAGGAAGGGGAGACTAGGGAGTAACCATTTAATGAGTTGAAGGTTTCCCTTTGGGATGATGAAGATGTTCTGGAACTAGAAAAGGGTCATGTTGGTACAACATTGTGAATGTACCGAATGCCACTGAATTGTACACTTTAACTTGTCCCATTCTATACTATGTAAGTTTTACTTCAACAAATAAACTTAAGAAAATTTAGAAAGGATAAACTTCAAAAGATGCATTGTAAGATCACCATCCCATAAAACTAAAAAAAAAAAATTATACTACAAAAATACCTTAACCACAAGAAAAATCTGGTATGTAGATATTATTCTAGTATCAAAGGGAAACTCAAAAATAAAATATCAAATTATTGCACTTAATAATAAACCCTAAAGCTTGTGATATTGCAATTGCATATGATCTAACCTGTAAAAGATGAATAATTCCAATATTGTTTTAAATATTTAGTCCAAAGAAGAGGAGGGAAATGTTTTAATTAAATGAAGGTGATATATTTCAATACCAAAACTTTATGGAAATTCTGCAAAAATAACATTACTATATAAGTTACCAATAAATACATATTTGAAAAATTATATAAAATATTTGCCAAAGAATTCTTTAATATAAGAAAAGAAAAGTGTATCACTCCAAAAAAATTTATTATAACAATGTGCCAATGGTTTAACAGCAGGAAATCTAGGTATGTAATTTATTGTATCAACATGATTAAAAAATAGAATTTTATCAAAAGATGCTTAAGATGTATTCATTATTCAAAAACTGGCAATTGTAATAAAAAATGAAAATTTAAAAAATACCTTAATTTAAATAAAGAACTATTTCACACAAGCATCCATATTAATCACTAAAATGCTAAAGCTGTAATAATAGGAACAAATCAGGTAAACCTGACATCCCTATTACAATTTAACATCATTTTGAGGATTTTTGCTATGTAATAGGACAATAAAATGAAATAAAAGATATACATTTAAAAATTGTGAAATAAAATTATTTTAATATTATTATAATTAAAACATCAAATAGAAGACTGTTGTTTTCAAAATAAGTTTGTATCCACCAGAACTAAACCATCCAATACAACATACTTTTACTAGCATGAATAAAGTTTTTTTCCATACTTTCAATAAATAGTTAAAAATATAAACAGAAAACGTCTTTACTAGCAGAGTCATTAAATACTGATGATGAAATTTATAAAGATACAGACATTTAAGACTATAATTATGAAATCATATTGAAGAAAATAGAGATAATTAATTTAGACACATAATATATTCTAAGACGGGAAGGCTTATTATAGTAAAAATGTCAATCATTCCAAAATTGTTATAGAAACAGCCATCAAATTCTGGTAAAATTTACACAATAACCTTTTGGCCTGTCAATTTAAATAATATTATTAGAAAAAAGTAATGTAAAATGCTGGAAAGAGTTTTCAAACATGGACTTTCTTCTGTTCCACTGGTGAGAATACAAACTGTTACCCCTTATTCTGGAGAGGAATTTGGCAACCAATATTACTCAACATTCTTAAAATATTTGCTAATACCTTATGACTCAGAAAATTCTGTTTTAACAGTACGTTTGAAGAAAATATTCAAGATCATGCAGTGTAACTACAGATTGTGCAATTTCCTTACATGGTTCTTCATCATAGTACTGTTTATGTTATGTGTCCCTCATACATATGTTGTGCATGTCAAACTGTGCATAATGCTCATATAATTGACAATGAGTTAAATCATGAGTATGTGTGATATAAGGGAATACTAAGTAAAAGTAATGTGATACAGTGATATACAGAGAGAGACAGAAGGAAGAGATGGAGACAGGAGCATTAGTATGATGTTTTTTAGTAAAACACGAGATTAGTATGATGTTTCTTAATCAGTAAAAAGAGTAAAAACTGAATATTTTGAAGTATTACACTAAGATATTAGGTTGGTGCATACTTTTAATGGCAAAAACCACAATTGTTTTTGCACCAACCTAAGAATAATGGTTTTTCTTAGTGGAGAGGAGTACAGGTGACTTTGTCATTGTTCATCTTTGTTTTCTGACTTTTTAAATAATAAAGTATTATTTGAGTAATAAAACTATATTTCTATGAGTGAAGACATAATGATTTCATTTTGGACATGTTAACTTGGATATTGAAATTATTTTCTTCGGTAGCATTTATACATTCCCAGCGTTAATGCCTGTCAGGGCTGAAATTACACTTACCAAACAATAGGCTGAATATGGGAGAACATGTTTCTAAAGAACTTTTAATCTAAATCAATACTACACTAAGTTAAAGTTATTATTTTTAATTAACCATTAAGTGCAAATATAAGCAAAAATGTTTTCATTTCTAGGTAATGGACCTACACAGAAAAGTTTGTGAAGAACTTGAAGAAGCTTTAGAAGCCTGTGAAAATGCCAGACTGAAGGCTCAGCAAATTAAAGAAGAGATGGATAAAGATATTTACCAGGATGAAAAAAGCATAGAGGCCTACAAGTAAGAATTTTTCACAAACACTAATTATAGCATTTAGAAATTAAATATTAAGTAAAAATGTAATGTATAGTTCTATACAGAAAATTTTAAGAGAAAAATAAAATTTTAAATTATTCATACCTGTCTCATCACCAAGTTTATATATAAATAAAAAGATATATATTTCATATATGTAAAATTATGTATGTATAAATCTCTAAAGTCATCTAAAGATGACACTATATTTCTGTGTCATCTTAAAGCTCTTCGTATATATTGCCAAATTGCCTGAGGACATGTTATAACAATAAATATACCTACAACGTGTGCAAAAGTAACTATTAAAAAAAATTCAGTATGGGATATGATTAAAAACAAATTAGATATCAATAAATGAATTATATACTTATCACGTAATATTTCAACTTGAATTTATTTGATTACTAATAAAATGAAATATTTAAATATATAGATTATGTATTTTTGGTATATTATTTATTGAGGGTTTTTTATTTTCTACATTTGTCCCTGATGTATTTATTTTCTGATATTCTTTCAGTTCCTTTTGTTGACTATAACTTCTTTATGATTCTGTGTGATATAATATTTTTATTTATTCAAATTGATCAATGATTTAGTATAAAAGAATTTATAGTCACTATGGGAGTTAGAGTCATATACATCTAAGCAAAATCAATACAATTTATACAAAATTCCACAACTTAGATAACATTCATTTCTTATGGTGTTTATATTTCCTCACATCCAGTGTATATTTCAACATGTAATTAAATATTATCTATTTAGTTGATAAATAGATCTCTTTTATAACTAACCTGATTAGTTATATTTGATCAATTGGATATATTTTCTAATTTTTATCATGATTTCTTCTTTGACCCATTGGTTATTAAGAAATATGTATTTTAAAAATTTGTATGTTGAGTTCTAATTAATTTTTATTATTGCTTTCCAGTTGAATTGTATATAGTTTTTTTTTTTCCCCAGAGAAAAATGTATATAGTTTCAAACCATGAAAATCGTTTAGTCTTAATTAAGATGGCATTTTTTGGCATGTATGCCTTGTGTCATTGAGAATAACATTCATTCTTTACTTGTTGAGTGTACTGTTGTTACTCTTTCATTAGATCAAGTTTACTAAGCATGGAGATTAATCTTTATACCACAACATTAACATTATCCAGGTGTTCGTTCAAAATTCAGAAAATTAGACTCAACACCGACCTATTAAATGAGAATCTACACTTTTAAAAGACTCCAAGGTGATGTTTGAGAAGCATTGCTCCGTTTATTAATTTTTTTTTTTTTACTTTTTCTGTCAAGTATTGAGGAGGGTCTATAATTGCCCACTTGTGTACATAATTATTTTTATCAGTTTTTGCTTCCTATATTTTGAGTCTATATTCTTAGGTGCATGCAAATTTGAAGTTGTTATATCCTCCTGGGATACAAATTAACCTCTTTTATCATTATGAATTGACCTTCTTTGACTCTTGGAATATTTTTGCTTGAACTCAATCAAGGCATTGATACAGTTGTACTAGCTTTCTTTTGATTAATATTTTCAATTAATCTCAATACTTTGAAGTTTTTATATTTTAGATATATCTGTTATAAACACCATGTAGACACATTTTTTTTCAGTTTGAAAATATTTTCAAGGGTGGACAATTAAGTGCATTCATGAATCACTAATATATTTGGATATAAACCACCACATAACTTACTCTATTTGCCACATTTGTTGTATTTTTTTCTTTTTTATTGCCTTTTTTCATGTTGATTATTATTATTTTATTATTTCTTGAATTTGAGTTATTACAATTTTATTTCTATTCTTTTAGTAGGAAATCCTATTAATTGCCACAGGAAAACTTAATGTTGTCAGACTCTAAAAAACAACTGATACTGTTATCCTGCTGGACAATAAAAGGAACTAAGAAAAATTTTATTCTAGTTATTACATTTCTTCTGAATTAAATATTTGTTACTGTTGCTGAATATTTCATTGTATAACAGATAAGTACATTATTATTAAGTAGTCAAGGTTATTTTTTAAATTTACCCACAAAATAACTATTTTTATTTTTTCTTCATGAATGTTAGACTTTTCATCTAAGAGTACTTTCTGGCTGAAATAGATCCTTTAGCATAACCTTTAGCAAAGTTTTCCTGATGATAAACTTTCAGAATTTTTGTTTGAAAGACATTTTCTTTTTTCATAGAATTGTTGATTCTTAGTTGACCTTCATATATTAGTTATAACATTTCATAATCTATTAATTTTCATGTTTGCCATTAAGAAGGAAGCTGACCATTTGACTTTCAGTTTTATGCATCTAATCTATATATTTTTTCTTCTGGATGTTTTGCCTGTTTTTAAGAGCATCTCTTTGTTATGAATTTTAATTTTATTTTTCAAGATATTCTAGGTGTTAATTTTTATTTATTCCATTGGGATTTGTTAGTCTTTTTGTTTCTATGTATTGGATTTTTCATTAATCCTGAGCATTCTGAGTCACAATTTTTTCAAACATTTCCTTGGTCCCATTTTCTGTGTCTTCTTGTGCTCAAATTAAACATACATTAGATTTTCTTATTGGGTACTCCATGCTTCTTAATCATTTTCTCACATTTTCTGTTTTCAAGCCTTCTGAAGAATTTCTTCTGGCTTATTGTCTATTTAAATCATTTCCTTTTGTCCTGAATTTAATGTGAAGATCATATGACTGCACCTTGGAGATCACCAACTATGAGAAATGCAATTGACCAAAGGATTCTGTTGTTAGCAGCATCTGACATGGCTTCCAATGATTTCAGCTTCTCCTCCCTGATATTCACGTTACTGACAAAGCCACTCTCCCAGAAGATGGGATCTTTCCTTGTTTGGAGTCACGGTACCAATACACAAAACCAAAAGTCAGCATTAAGCAGTGCAGACCATGGAATTGAGAAGTAGTAACATGACTCACAACTCAACTTCTCCACTAATGAAGGGTGAGGGGATTAAAATATAGGATTTATTTAATGAGGAGGTTGGACATTAAAAGCAAGGGGAGGGAATATTCATGTCTTTTCCAGAAATGGGTAGTCAACTTCCCGGAACCAGAGTGCTGCTTCATTTTTGTCCTCCTATGCCTTCTTCCAGTTGTGTCATGGGGATTGGCAATGGTCATTTAGCATGGAAATGAGATTATAATGAGGCCTGAGGTCCTTTTGAAGTCCTTTGGTTGGCTATCTTGGTTTAAACCTGTCTCAGCTGGTCTGGTTACAAAGGGAACTGTTTTTTATCACAGGTGTTCTGTTTCTTAAGCAGAGTTAAGGCAGGGTAGAAATTCAGCTATGTCATGTAGGCATTACACTGGATAACAAGTTCCCCCTTTTCTGTATATTCACTCCTCATTCTTGAAGGGTGCTGAGGGGTGAAAGTCTGTCTTCTAGAACTTCCTCAATCTGAAGTTGGATGTTAATATTGTTACAGGAAAGGGGTCCCAATCCAGACCCCAAGAGAGGGTTCTTGGATCTCGTGCAAGAAAGAATTCAGGGTGAGTCCACAGTGTAAAGCAAAAGTAAGTTTATTAAGAGAGGTAAAGTGGTGAAAGGACAGATACTCCATAGACAGAGTAGGACGTTTCTGAAAGTAAGAGGAGGAACGTGTCCACTCTAAGTACAATGCTTGTATATATGGGAGATGTGCTCTGCTACAAGGGTTTGTGATAAAGGATTAATTTTCTTAATTACTATATTTTGCAAGAATCGGTATTATTATCTTTAAGACAAAATTAGGAATGCCTTTGTTTGCCAGATATTGGGAGATCTGGACACTCCCAAATCTGGGTCTGTGTAGTAAACATTATTAGTTTGTTCCCTTACCATAAACATCTAGAGGCTAGGAATGCCTAAATTTCTGAGAATGCAGCCTTTCAAGGCCCAGTCTCATTTTCCTAGCCCTCAGTCAAAATGGAGTCACTCTGGTTCGAACACCTTTGACAATATGGGGCCTGTTAGAGGAGTGAATTTTTTCCCTAGCTAGTCTTAGATAGGTCTGGTTATCTCCTGGGTATAAGCCTACCTTTTTATATCACTGTATGACCTCGATTTGCTTATACATAAAAGAGACCAGACAGTTTAAGAGAAAGAGCCTGAAGATCAAGATAAGTAGAATGGTAGCTAAAGGGCCCAATTAGGGTAAAAATCAGGTGAAATCAGGACTGGCCTGTTTTATCATTTTCATATTCCTTGAGGGTCTGTGCCCTTTTGGTTAAACTGGTGCAACCACTTGGCCTGGTTGTAGACGATTTTAATGTCTTTTTGTTGTTGTTGTTGTTAATCTTGAATTACTTACCCAAGCACAACAGAAAGAGCTGGTGACCACACGTGCCTCACCTTTTTTTTTGCCAAGAGGTAATCAGAAGTCAGACGATTATCAAGCACAGTGTTGGCTAGTGAGTCTAGGGAGACTTTGAGGAGGGAAAGGGCATCACTAGTCTTACAGGCTAGAATTTCTATACCTGTTGTGAGGTTGCAGAGGGTAAACTCATGGTAGGCTATCAGGAGAACCCACTCCTGATGTTTAACATGGGTTCTTTTCTATTTCCTAAGTGTCTCGGCTGGGTTGAGAAATAAAGGGAAAGAGCACAAGGGAGAGAAATTTAAAGTTGGGTGTCCGGGGGAGACATCACATGTCGGCAGGATCCGTGATGTTCCCCGAGCCGTAAAACCAGTAGGTTTTTATTAGTGATTTTCAAAAGGGGAGGGAGTGCACGAATAGGGTGTGGGTCACAGAAATCACATACTTTACAAGGTAATAAAATATCACAAAGCAAATGGAGGTAGGGCGAGATCACAGGACCACAGGATGAGGAGAAATTAAAACTGCTAATGAAGTTTCAGGCAAGCATTGTCATTGATAACATCTTATCAGGAAACAGGGTTTGAGAACAGATAACCTGTCTGACCACAATTTATTAGGTAGGAATTTTCATCCACCTAATAAGCCT